TAACCCTTTGACATCAAGAATTTTATTATATATTTTTATATGTATATGCATATATATATATTTTGTTTATCACTCATTTTAGAAACAATAGATTCGAGAAAAGCAGAAGCAAAAACAACATACGTTACGTTATTGGATAGAGCACCAGACGGTACAATGAGGTATAATTTTTTATAACGTTTTTATTTGCTTTTACGTATTATTATATTTTTATCTGTAATATTTTGTATAATTATATATATATATAATTGTTGCTTCAGAAAATATTTAACAATAAAGCAGCGATGTATAGGAAATATACGATGGTATGCATGCTCTTTCTGTCACAAAGAATTTAAAAAACCATCAGATTTAATACGTCATTTAAGAGTACATACTCAAGAAAAACCATTTAAGGTAGGTTTTAAAATGTTACAATTTTACACGTTGTATAAAAATAATATTATTAATATGTCTTATATTTAATGTATATTTTAGTGTTCTTATTGTGTTCGCTCATTTGCATTAAAATCAACGATGATTGCACACGAACGTACTCACACTGGTACCAAGAAGTATGCTTGTGGTTCGTGCGATAAAACTTTTGCATGTCATAGTAGTCTTACTACTCATACAAGGTATTTTATACATTGGTTTATATAATTAATATATATATATATAATAATTAACATTAATTATTATTAAACAAAGTATATTTTAATATATTACAGATTACATACAAAACCACATAAATGCACTGTATGTGATAAATCGTTTAGTTCTAGTGCTGTTTTAAAAAGTCATATGAAAAGTCATTCTAAAGGAAAATCCAATCTCTCACCGGAAGCAGAAAGTCTAGTACCACAAATAGTTTTACAAGAACCATTAGTTATTAGCGATGCTGGCAATAAAATCAGCGTGGCGCATGTACAATCAAAACAAAAGCATGTTTATGACAGTGCAGATGTTGCAAGAACACACAAATGCTGGGTATGTCATGCAGCGTTTAGAAAAATTAGTCACTTAAAACAGCATTTTCGCCGACATACTGGAGAGCGTCCTTTTAAATGCACAAAGTGTGATAGAAGATTTACATCTAATAGCGTTCTTAAGTCACATTTGCATACACACGATGACGCAAGACCATACAGTTGTACTGTATGTAATACTAAGTTTTCTACTCAAAGCAGTATGAAGAGACATTTAGTTACTCATAGTAACAAAAGACCATTTATGTGTCCTTATTGCCATAAAACCTTCAAAACTTCAGTTAATTGTAGAAAACATATGAAGATACATAAGCATGAACTTGCACAGAGACAGTTAGAACAACAAAAGAAACAACAACAGATAAAGGATGTACCAAAGACATTAAATAAGGATAAGGGAACTATTTTACCAGAGAATATAGCACTTTCAGAGGAAATGGAAGTATCATTCCAACCACAAATGGCACCTGATTTTGCACTAGCTTTTTCTGATCAATTTCAAAATATAACTGATAAAGAGAAAACATTTTTAACTACAGACAGAACGCAGCCAGTTATCAATCCAAGTTTGTCTACAAATTTGTCTACAAATTTGTCTACAATGGAAACTAATAATTTAACAACATCGCAAACTTTACATACTGATGAAACAGCCACTATTACAATTCCTAATTATACAGGGGATCAATCGCTTACACCTGAAAGTATACGCGAAATAGAAGAAACTTTTAATCAACAATTATTTAATATTGGAATGAATCTTGGCTTAGGAAGCAATCTCTCAAGACCTGTAGATGATACAAACGCAAATACTCTTGAACAAAGAGAACAACCTGTTTTGAATATTATTTATGATAATAATAAAAACTTAGAGTCATCTGTTAATACGATGTTCTCATCACAATTTGACTCATTTGATATTAGCCAGATTACATTACAACCTGATTCTGAAATAGATATTGGACTGAATACAGACAATTCTGCAAATATAGCAAATATTTTAACTAGGTCTATACAAGATAGACAAGAAATAAGCACTATTGCCATTGAAAGTAATACAAATGACAATCACATTAAAACACCTAAACAATTAATGATATTGGATTCCAAACAAACTGGATCCGATGCCTTAAAACTGCCACAATCTTGTCCAAGATATCCGAAAGTTATAGCTAAAGCAGATACAACAGATACAACAGATATAGAAATAATAAATTTAACAAATAGCACTGAAATGCAGATGATAAATGATTGTAATAAAAAACATCAAGAAAATATCGTATGTCACGAACATGAAAATAATACTTTGCATATAAAGTAAGTTGCATTTTAGATATTTAATATTACTTATATAATAATTATATATTTTTGGAAATGTGAAAATGTGTATGTCTGTACAATTATAATTATTTTTTTATAGATGTGACTTAAACAACGATAATTTTCAAGATGCATTACAATTAAATGCTCATTCAAAGTTACATTCCCCATCAAATATCATTTATACAGATATTAATGGATGCAACATTCAATGTGAATCTTTACTTCAATGTCATATATGCAGTGAACAAGGCTTTACTACAGAAGAATTAAAGGTAAAAAATATCAAATATTATTTCAATTATGATTGATTAATACTAGTCGATGTAAAAAAAAAATTATTATAATTTGTATCATTAGGAACATTTACAAAGTCATCGTGGAACAAAAGGCTTCCAGTGTACAATATGTTTTCTTAAATTTTGTACTAGCGGTGGACTTAGCAGACATTTAAAATTACATAAAAGTAAAGAGTAAGTATTTATTTAATATTATTATCATTAAAGAATATTAATATAATAAATTGAACTCTACTGAAATTTAACATTTTTGTTTGTTTAAATAATATAGACAATGGAAGTGTACAATTTGTCAACGAGTTTTTGTTAGCAAGGTCCAGTTGAAATCTCATCATAAAATGCATTTTAATAAACTTAATTCTAGCTCATTAGAACCAGACAGCTCGCAAAAAGAAAATATTTCTATTGATACAAGTCTTTCTATCGATTCTACTTCAAATAGTAAAATCTCTTTTGATGACAAAACTTCCTTAGACGAAAATATTTCTTTAGATGATAAAATGGGCACTGATTCATCAGTGTCAGAAAAAGTTCTTTTAGACATAGTAGCAGAAAAAAAGATCATGGATCAAATAAATGTAAGTAAAAATAAAATTTATTATATGTGTATGGATCGAAACTTAATTAAACAACTTGATGAACTTACGATTTAGGGTGGTGTAGAGAAAAAAGAAACAAAGCAATATATTAATAAATGTAAATACTGTCCGAAAACATTTCGCAAACCAAGTGATCTTATAAGACACATTCGAACACATACTGGGGAAAGGCCATACAAGTGCGAACATTGCAGTAAGAGTTTTGCAGTGAAATGTACATTGGATTCTCATATGAAAGTCCATAGTGGCAAGAAAACATTTTGTTGTCATGTTTGCAACAGTCTATTTGCTACAAAGGGCAGTTTAAAGGTTCACATGCGATTACATACTGGTATGTAAAAATAATTAATTAATTTTATATAGATATTTTAGGTTGTCCCATATATAAGTTCTTTCCGCGCCAAGCTACATATTTTTAATATAAGATTATTTTTTTTTTTACAATAATTTTTGTTTAGGTTCCAAACCATTCAGATGTCAGATTTGTGACCTAAGATTTCGAACTTCTGGTCACAGAAAGGTACATTTATTAAAACACGTGAGACAACACAAAGGTACAACAAAACGAAAACCAAAGCACATGAAAGTTTCTGCCGTAGCTGAAGCAAGTCTTGATTTAGAGAAATCAGTTGAAGGTGTTGTGCATTTAGTAGCAACTGATAATGATGTATCTACATCATCAAATGTTGATTATTCAAATCTTGATACAATTAGTATTGATACTAATAATTTGGTCAATCAGATTAATTTGAATAGCGAAGCGATGATATTAAATAATAATTCGATAGTATCATTAAATGAGAATAATCAATTAGTAGCAAATTTGCATTTCTTATTAGCAAATGGATTTGTTACTATTCAAACGGATGAAGCTTCACAACAGCAAACACCACCACCACCACCACCACCACCACCAGTAGCAGCAGTACCACCACCATTAGTACCCATTTCTAATGCAAATGTTATTCAGAATGAGAATAAATTACCAGAATTTGTTAATCCTACATCTATACAGGAATCTTATATTGATACGGGTGCTAAACACGTTGTTATTACAAATGAAACATCCACAAGAGCAGCCCTTCCAACCAGTCATGTTTCAATAGAGCCAAATATAGATATCAATATAACACAGTTAGAATATACAGACACTACACCAGTTAAAACAGAAGAGACAATGAAGAAGCAAACAAATAAGAGCAATTCATCAAAACAGAGAGCATGTGATATTTGTGGAAAAACATTTATGAAGCCATACCAAGTAGAGAGACATAAACGAATTCACACAGGTGAACGTCCATTTAAATGTGAATTATGTACCAAATCATTTGCCCAAAAGGCAACATTACAAATGCATCAAAAACACCATACAGGTGATCGACCACACGCTTGTCCATGTTGTGATTTTACCTTTTCTCAAAGAGGGAATTTACGAACACATTTAAGACGTGTTCATCGATTGGATCTTGTCAGTGCTAAAAAGTTGAAATCAAGTCAACAAGTTTTAAGTGCTAAATTAATACAAAATAATATAAGTGAAACAAAAATTTTAAGTTTAGATGATATTGCCTTTGTTCAGTTTGTAAAATAATCATTTTTAAAATAGAATAACATTTTCAAATGCTAAATACGCTTAAACTCCTCTAATCCTGTCTGAGAAATCAGGTAGATTACTTTTCACTGCTCTAATTATGAAAGATTAAAAAAAGGAAAAAAAAAATAATTAATATTAGACTGATCTCTCTGTCTTTGCATTGAGAAATTTTTTAAAACTCGCTGTGATGTATATATCGTGTACACTGATAACAATAAAATAATAAATTTATATTCTGTGGTTTATTAGAATTCTGACAGTCACTTATTATTTTAAGTGTTCTATGACGCTAAACCTATCTGGTATTACTAAGATGCAAAAAACTTTCTTTGATAAGTTGTATTATCTTTATTTGATACGTAAAAATATAACTTGTACATAAATTACTACTGTTTGTAATAAAACATATTATAGAATTGAACTTATATAGCATTTATGTGTGAAAACTTTTGAAGTATAAGCGATTAATGAACAAATAAAAATTAATGTTTAAAATTACAGTTCATTTCAATGTTTGGACAACCATCAGGATGATTTTCATGAAACCAACAAGATTTTGTTTTTATTGAATTTATAGCATTAGTCCTTCGTTTTTTTTTAACATTGATAGAACTAATTCCAGATATTTTTAATTGTACTTTTCCTTGAATAATAGAAAATATGTGGCCATTATTTTTTAGTAATGTTTGAATACCTCCACATTCATTTTTGAGCTGTTTCAACATTTCTAAAGGTATACATTTGATAATATCCTTTAAATCAATTTGACCACCTGCATTCCAAACTTTATTATTTTTTTCTGATAGATTTATAGGACGATACGTAGACAATAATTTTGATGTAACTAATTTGATAATATCAGATATTAAAGTTTGATTTAATTGTGTGCAATTTCGTACTTTTTCAATAGGATTTCTTGGTTTAAAATTATCAGACCATGAATTAAATGACATTTCATTATCGTCGTTTTTAATCTCATTAATTTTTGCTAATGACGTAATATTTATTAATTCCTGAATACGTTTTTCTTGTAAAAGGAAATCTTCCTTTGAATAATTTCTTTTCGAACCAATTAAAGAAATTCTTTTTGTCGATGGTATTCTTAACTTATCCAATTGAGTATCAAAGCCACATATTTTGGACATATTTGAGATACATGAAATATATTCTGAATATTTACTTATACATGTATTTTGTCTTTGAAATTTGCTACCATCAAATTCATAAGCACAACATGGTAATAAAAAGAATCTACAATTATATGAACTACGTGCAGCAATAACTGGAATCCATGGTGTAAGTTCATCAGAATGATTTCCGATAAGCCAATCTACATCAGGAAATAATGAAGTTGATGGAATAATAGTTCGAACCTATAGATATCAGTAAAATTATATAGTAAACAAATATAATTATCCATTTTATAATAATAATTTCATTTTATATACGTACTTCTAAACGAGTACTTTTTGGAAAATGATCCCAGAGTTTTCTTGCTCGTAAATCAATTCCTAATCCTGGATAACCCTCACTTGATAAAATATATACAAGTAGACCATTGCCGCAACCAAGATCAACAAATGATTGTAATTTTTTACAGCCATTATCGTTTCTTTCATTTTCCCATAATAAAATTAAATAAGTTGCAATAGCAATATCTTCGTAAACAAATTTTGAAGGATCAGTATTTTCAGGCCATGCTTTGACCATAGAAGTACCATATTTTAATTTCAATTCAGTATATAATTTAGCATATTTTTCGGAATGCACAAGAGATAAAGAATTGATAATAAGACGATTTTTAACAGAAGTATCTTGTTTTATCCATTTCATTAAACGTATAAACAATGTGTTTTTGAGCCAATTAATACTTTTATGAGAATTTATATCATCTAGTTTTTGTACGTACATAGAAATAATACCTTCTTTATCGTATACTATTTTATAAATTACATTTGTACCTAATGAAAGTTTATCTTCAGAAATACATTTTTGAAGAAACAAAACATAATTTTCTGTTTTATTAATAAATATAAATTCTAATGTTGTACCAAATTGAGAACTACGAGATAATAATTTGTTCACATTTAAAAATATATTCTCATTGTTATTTTTATGAAAATTTATGGAATTAACTACATTACAATATTCATTTATTTTTAACGTTTCTATCCAAATATTATTATCCTCACAGTCATTATTCTCTATCGATAAAGATTGTATTACTTTAATATAGGAATATAAGTTGTGATTACTTTTAAATTGTGCTGTAAGTATTTTTTGGCAAATTAAAATTCTACGATTAATAGTATGGGGATTATTTATTAGAATTTCTATAGCTTTCCAAAAATTTAAAATATTATTATCACTACTTTCAGATACTACCAGTTCAAAATTCATTTTAAAAAATATTTTATATTTTTTTATGTGTCTATTTTATTTTCCTATTTCCTTGTTATACTGTGGATAATAAAAGAAAAGAAAAAATAATATAAGTTATATAAATATGCACACATGTATCTATATACTTGTTTATATTAAAACTTATGTTAAATACTATCTAAAAATACCTTTTGCAAAACCCATTTAGCATCAGAGAATGCTTTTTCCATAATCACTTTAACACGTTCCGGATCAGACTCTTCGGTATGTTGTTTAAAACTCTGTAGAATGATGCAACATTGAATAAATATAAAATATATTTATCCAAGAAATAAAATAGTCAACGAAATAACGCGTTAATCAAACCGATAACGTTTAAAACAAGTTATGAAAGGTTATGTTGATATAAACACGTGGCCAACTATTCTGCATTATTGACATTTCAATGAAATTCTTTAGAATTTTATTACTACATACACAGACTTACTTGTTTAATAGAATGTTTATAAAATTCGTTAGCACCTTGTGGAAGTTTATTACATTCCCGTAACAGAAACTTGTATAATTGTTTTGACGAATGAATACCTGCATTTTTTAACACCGTACTAGTCATTATTATTAAGAGAAAGTTGCCACAATATATAATATAAAATATTTATTTTATTTTATACTATGTTATAATCCAACCCCCGTGTCGTATTCTTAATTGAATCTACCCCTACAATCGAGATAGATTATCGAAATCAATACTTTCGATTATCGAATTATAAAATCAACACGTGAAACACGTGTAAATAAAAAGAAGAAAATAATCTATTAAATATTATCAAAGATATATAGTAATAATTAAAGTCGTTTATTTAAGGTTTTTGTCGTTTAGATTACCATGACACAACTTGGCAAATGCATTTAATATATATAGAAACATGACATTAATTATTATTAGATCTTGATGTCAAAAGGTTATGTTATATATTAAATTGTTTTTTATTTTGTATGTGTAGTAAAAAATAAGTGAGATTTCATATTTATATTTATGTGTATATAATGTGATCACTTCTATAGATGAAAGTAATTTGAAGTGTAAAATGTTTCATATACGTCAATATACTCTTCGGAGTTCTATTAAATTTTATCAAAATTTATTACAAAAATGGATACATAATTCCAATGAACATCCATCAGCTGGCCTAATTAGTGAGTATAATTAAAATTTATTATATTTTTTTTTAAAAAACAATAACAATTCAGTATTTATAATTTTTAGTCATTGGAAATGAAATACTGAAAGCACGGGTAAAGGACACTAATTCTCATTATGCTTGTAGTTTATTATATAAATGTGGCGTTAAGGTAGAAAAAGTTAGTATATTTTAACATTTTTTTATTATTACTGAGTAAATTTTAAATAATTATACAAAAACCTATATTCTTATTACTGTCATATTTAATATTATGTTTGTATGTTTTTCTTTTTAAAGATATCAGTTATAAGCGATGATGTAGAAGAAATAAAAGAAGAAATCAAGAAGTTCTCTGAAAAATATAATCATGTTATTACATCGGGTGGTATTGGACCAACTCATGACGATGTTACATATGAGGGTAAATGATTGAAGAAAGTATTTCTTTAATAACGAATAATAAATATTAAAACTAATGAATACAAAATTGGGGTAATTGTGTAGGACTTGCTAAAGCTTTTGATGACTCCTTACACTATCATCCGGAACTTGTTGAAATTATAAAAAACCAATTTGATGTAATAAGTCCAACATCACCTAATTACAAAATGGCTTATGTATGTATATTTATTATACTATTATGATTAAATACTTTTGTTATATATATGATTTTGTCTTAGATACCAACAAAAGCATCTTTAATATTTGGGAAAAGAAAAAGCGTGAGATATCCATGCATTATGTTAAAAAATGTGTATATATTCCCTGGGTCGCCAATATTCTTTGAAAAATCTTTTGGAATATTGCACAAGGTAATGTTCGTTAAAATTCTTTATAAATATAATATAAGTAGTATTTATTATAAGTTTTTTTATAACACATTTCTTTAGGAATTATTTTCATCAAATAGGTACTTTGCAAAGGATGAAATATATTTGAATGCGAAAGAGGAATTATTTGCAGATGCCTTAACACTTGTTTCTAAAGAATTTCCAAATGTTTCATTTGGTTCCTATCCTGTAAGCAATAATAGGTAAAACACGTTTCTCTCTAACATAATTTTTGTTATATCAAATAAATAGACATTATATGTATATATATAAATTATTCCTAGCTACTACAAAGCATTTATTACCATAGAAAGTGACAGTATTGAACAAACGAAAAAAGCAAAACAACAACTTTGCAATCTTATTGAACCAGATATTTTGGTGGAATACGATAATAATTCACATATTGATAGTCTTACAAAATATAAAAACTTTCTTGAGAAATGTCAACGATCGTTTATTTATGAAGAGACCTTGGAAAAATTAATGTAAAACATAGTTATATTAATATTTTTATAATACTATTATATATATATTTTTATTTACCATTTTATCATTTGATTATTCTAGAAAAACTTATCAACATCAATCTGAGAAAATAGCAATTATTTTTAATAGTAATATAGAAACACAGATAGTCATACATTTTGTTCATTTGGCTCACATAGTATTACGCGTGCACGATAAATTACAAATTCTTTGTTTCAAATTGTCCGAACTTTCTAAAAACGACGAACAATTAATCGAAGATATTATGAAAAGGTAGAATATAATTTTTTCATTTTTTATCGAATTATTTAATCTTAAACAGATTATTTGATATTTATATTGTTTTCAGATATAACGTAAATATTTGCATTTTAGAAAGTGATCTTTTGCATGCTATGAAGAAATTAAGGTCAGTAAAACCGCAATTAGAAATCTTATTAGTCGGAACGGAGGAAAAGAAATTTAGTGAAGCATTGGAATGTCAATCAAGAAATGAGGAGGCTATTGGGCAATTAGAAATAACAAATCCTTTACATAAATGGACACAAGAAGATGTACGGATCTTTGCTAGATTTCTATCATTGCCCTTAACATGATCTCATGAACTTTCCAAGATGAAAGAAGAAACGTGTTTTACTGAAACATCTTTATACATATTTTTGCAGTCTTGTATATAAACTCGTAAAATATGAAAATATTTCGTTAAAGTGAAAGTAATACAAATAACAGAAAGCAGGTATGCTAATAAATAATAATGATATCTTTTAACAATCTCGTATTTTTTGTTTTTCAATAGTCAATTATTTTATTGAGAACAATTAATTACCTCGTTAGAGAAAAAAGAACGAGTTTACGACAAGAGAAATAGATATTTTGATATGAATCTGTGTCTCATCTCTGAGAGGAGAAGGAGGAGGAGGAAGAGGAGGAGAGTAACAGTCATCTCATCGTTGCGAATCACGCGCGACCTCGATTTGAAAAATCCCAAAATGCTTCCGGCAGGTTGACGGAAGTCGTTTAATATTCGTAAGGGCATGCACAGCAAGAAACACAAAAGCTTCCTACCATTGTCTACGTGCGCTTTCAATATGTCTGCTCAGCCATCCGAGCAGCGGAACTCGAATGTACATTGAAGAGGTATGAGGTTCAGGGGGTGGGTATGGGTGCTGGTGGTGAGGGTAAGAGCGAGGGTGAGTTTGAGGGAGAGCTAGAGAAAGATGATGAGAATGAGGATGAGGAGGAGGAGGGGTTGTGAGATTCCAGGAACTGAAGTTAGGAGAGAGAGAGAGAAAGAGAGAGAGAGAGAGGAAGGAGAAGTCTGAGTATAAGCTCGTATTACACATTTTTCAAGTGAGGGAAAAGGCTGTTTGGGGGTGGAGGGTGGTAGAAGAGGTGGAATCTCCCTCCGTTTCCACCTCCTTCCACCCTTTCGAAATTTCATTTCCAGTTAAAGTATTTCTAGCTTTTTTCCTTTGAAACTTTAAAATGAGACCGGGGAGGAGAGCCCCCTCTCTGTTCTCCCAACCAACCAACCAACCAACCACCCACCCTTCTTTCCCCTTCCTTTTTTCTTCTACGTCTTCACCGAGTCGTTCTATTCGCGATATTCCGCGAAAGAAAGTTACTATTTTTCATATCCTTATTCTTTCGTTTTTCTTACATTATACATAGATTGTTCCTTGCGGGAAATCATTTTGAAACTTCAAACGTCCTCGTACCCGCATTCTCCAGACAAACACCACGGATATTTTTTGATTAACGTTACTACGCTGATTTTAAGTCCCGTAAAATATAATCCAAGGATATTTATATTGTTAACTTTGCGAAACATAATGATTTTTAATATTTAGAAAAATTTCAATATATAAATAGAAAAAAAACAAATACGTTTATTAATGCTGTTTCTACTTATCTTATCATTTCCATGATACATCTCTATTAAAATCAATTAAAGTATGTCTTAAATATTTTTCATGTCATTAAAAATATCGAAAATATTTAGGTGGTCTTCTTCAGCTGGGACACCCTACATATGCATATCTGTTATCATTGTAAATTTTGAATTTCAACCTATCTCGTGTATCATATCTGTGCTAACGATAAAATTATTTTTATCTCTGTCTATATATGAAATATGTAACATAATACATATATTTATTATTATTATGAAGAAGCGAATTAATAATAGAAAATACTAATGGAATACAAAGCGTAATTTAGTTAGATTTTATAAAGCAAACTACATTTTAATATGTCCCTTGGTATCTCTTTATCACAATATATTCCTATATTACAAGAGTCAACAGGAGAAAAAGGAAATATTTATCTCTTTTCCTCTCTTCTCCTTTTTCTCTCCTTCTCCTCTTCCCCTCTTCACCGGTTGGGTTTCAAGCAAAGGAACTTTATAAAAATACCGCGTTCATCGTCATTTCAATTTCGGTTAAAAATATTGAAGTATACCGGTGGTATTTTTCAAACAAACACGAACACGCACGAGCTTGTGTTGCTGGCACAGACTAAACCGAGGGAAAGTGTATATAATGCAAGCGCGGCGCAAAACGGAAATGGATAAAATACTATTTCAGCTTTTCTATAGCAATGCCAGTTTAATATCTGTAGAAATTGTATTGGTTCTTTTATATGGAGAGGAAGGAGTGGGACAGGGGTTGAGGGGGATGAAAAAAGAGAGAGAGAGAGAGAAAAGAAAAATAGAAGAAAAAAGAATCAGTACGGAATTCAACGCGGAATAACGTAATACCAACGTTGCTGTAACATTTTATATATACATATATATATATTATATATAAAAGTACATATATTCATACGTATATACATATATGTATATATGCATACATGCATACCAAGATACAGAGAGTGAGTGAGAGAGAGAGAAATACGAATCCTTTACGAGTTTGCCGAGGATGTTCTACGAAGTTTTCCAATTAATTAACGAGTTGGTAGTACTCCCTTGTTAATAGATAGGATCCCCGCTGTACCATCTCTTCGTAGGAATTACATCATCTTGCGTTACGTGGATCGTCTTGAATTTGATTTAGATTCGAGATTGAAGATTTAATTGTCTACTTACATACTTATATATATACACACACATACACATATATATTTATATATGTATATATGTATATATGTTATATACATATCTAAAGAATAAGAATAAGAATAAGAATAAGAAAAAACTAACGAGAATGACGAGGTAAAATAAGGTATGCCGAAAGGTACGATCTTCTTAAACGATCGCTGAACGTTCGCTCACATGCGACCATTTTGAGGCGGTTGTAGCAGACGAAGTAGACAGGGGAGTCTCGTATTTCAACGGAGTATTTCATTTGAGTTTGGAATTGATTGCTCGGCGGGTTGAAGAAAGTCGGTGGGTTGGGTTGGGGTGCACAGAGAGAGAGAGAGAGAGAGAGAGAGAGTGGGATAGAGAAAGAGAGAATATAGAAGAGGGGTGAGGGTTGGCTCGTTGGAAGGGAGCCTCCAAGCTGTAGAGGAGGATACGAGGGGGAAGTGGCACAGGGTCAGAAGGAGAGGGAGAGTGAATATATATTCGGTGAGAACAGAACGGCCGAACGACGAGAGACGGAATGGAACGAAACGAACGTATATTTCCAGAACAAATATTTACGCGAAAGAGGTATAAAAAGAGCGAAAATGTGTTTTCTGTTTGATTTGCGACTGTATTTTTCTTTCCGGCCCCGAACCCCCTCAACTCACTTCACCCTCACCACGGTATGTCTCTTTCTCTCTTTCCCCCTTCTCTTTCGTTTTCTCTCTGTATCTGACTTTTTTTTTTTCAGGTCTCCCACCCTCCCTCTTTCTCTCTTTCTCTCTTCCTTTTCCTCTTCTTCCTCCTCTTCTTGGTGTACTCTCCATCCCATACACGATTTCCCTGTTTCCCTTATTTGCTTTTATTCGAAGGCATGCGCTCGCGGCTCCAAACTTCGCTAATTACCTATCCCATTACTATCACCTAGACATTTCGAAAATCAATGAATATAAGCTGCGAATAACTTCTCTCTCTTTTCTTTTTTTCTTTTTTACATATACAATCGTATACTCTCTCTCTCTCTCTCTCTCTCTCTTTCTCTCTCTTATATATTTCCTCTCCTTTCCTTTTAATCGTAATTTTTTTGTTACCCCCTTGTATTATTATATTTCCTCCACGAATGGTAATCTAAACTTTCTGAGATCGTTCAATTTTGCATACGATCACTTTTTATCCCATTTCGAAACGCATTTTTTAATCACCCAACACTTGTTCCTCTCCCCTCACTCTCTCTCTCTATCTCTCTCTCTCTCTCTTTCTTCTCATCGTCTCGTTAAATTATTTTATGGTTGATCGCACGAAACGAAATCATTATATCAACGATATATTCGTGTGTGTCCCTGTTGTCATATCGTTGAGAAGCTTATATTATTACATGCAACATAAAGTCGAGCAAATATTGAAATTGTTAACTCTCCTTTTCGTCTTCGTCTTCATCTTCATCTTCGTCGTCGTCGTTGTCGAGGGGGTGGAAGAGAGGGAGGAGGAGGAGGAGGAGGTGGTGGTTTCGTCACGAGTGAAGTTCCCGCGGTATAATCATCACATAAATAACGAAGTATAAAGTTTCCTCTAATAACAAAAGTAACTGGGAAGCGAGGTAGAGTATGAGAGAGAAAAAGAGAGAGAGGAGAGAGGAGAGAGGAGAGAGAGAGAGAGAGAGAACGAGTAAAGGCAGATTCGTGGAAGGGGATCCGACGGAGTGAATCGTAAGTGAGCTATGAATTATGCATTTGGCCATCGGGGGTGCTCATCCAACTCTTCGACAACCCGCTAGGAGAGAATTCCTCTCCGTGGAATTTCAAATTCGAGAAGACACAAGAAACGTCGTTTACGTAGACCGTTAAAAGTGACCGATGAGCGGCCACCAATGAAAAGTACCTTCTGTTTCTTTTTACGATCACATTTTTTTCTTTTTCTTTTCTTTTCTTTTCTTTTCTTTTTTTTATTATTCTTCTCCTCTACTACGAACTCGACAACGGGTTTAGAACTTTGTGTGTATTAGTTTTTTTTTTAAATATTGTATAAAGGAAACGAGAGAGATAAGAAATCTTGATATTTTGTAGGAAATAGAGAGATTCAATCGTATATTAAAAAAAAAAAAAATTTAAAATTTAAATATTATCCCATGAGAATCTCTCTTGTCAATGGGGAATAATTTGATCAAGAAATTTCTACATCGCGAGGGGTTTAATTTTCTTTTGCTTTTTTTTTTTATTTTTATTTTTTACGTGGGATCAACGCGAATAATTTAGGAAATATATTTCCATCTTTTTTTTTTTAGAACGTCGTTTAAAATTAACTTTACCTAATGATAATAATATACTTTTATTATTTATAATCGATTTTTTGATGTGACAAAATTTGCATAACCGACGATGAAAATAATATAAATCAAAATTTATTAATTTAACAGTAAAAAAAAGAAACCGCGTATTTAATATTAAATTTCTAAAGTACGATATATATATATAATATATAAAAAATCTCGGATATTAAAATTTTGAACGTCAAAACTTGACTCACAAACATATATCTCATCTCGTATAACATACAAAATTTACATACTATAAACAATGTAGAACGTCAATACGTAAAATATATAGTTTGTACTTATACTGTTTTGACAAAGAAAAAAAAAAAAAAAAATAGAAAAAAGAAAAAGAAAAAGAAAAGAGACTTATAGGCTATTTTGACTG